CCAAACCTAAAATTTAAAAACAATAATTGAAAACAGGATCTCAAAAAGATAACTGTACACCCATGTTCATATCAGCACTATTCACAATAGCCAAAAGAGGGAGCAACTCAAGTGCAGGGAGCTGAATGGATAAACAAAATGTGGTACATTCATACAATGAAATATTGTTCAGCCTTAAAAAGAAGGAAATTAGCTGGGCGTGGGGTGGGCACCTGTAATCGCAGCTACTTGGGAGACTGAGGCAGGAGAATCACCTGAACCCAGGAGGCGGAGGTTTCAGTGAGCCAAGATTGTGCCATTGCACTCCAGCCTGGGTGACAAGAGCAAAGCTCCATCTAAAAAAAAAAAAAAAAGGAAGGAAATTCTGACACATTACATGGAGGGAGCTTTGAGAACATTATGCTAAGTGAACTAAGCCAGGCACAGATAGACACACAGTGTATGGTTTCACTCATATAAAGTATCTAGAGTAGTCAAACTCATAGAGACAGAAAGTAGAATGGTGGTCACCAGGAGTAGGAGAAAGGGAATTGAGTTGTTGTTTAATGGGTATAGAGTTTGTTTTGTAAGATGACAAAGTTCTGGGGATTGTACAACAATGTGAATATACTTTCCGCTATTGAACTCTACGCTAAAAATTAGTTAAGATTGGGCCAGGCACGGTGGCTCATGCCTGTAATCCCAGCACTCTGGGAGGCTGAGGCAGGCAGATCACGAGGTCAGGAGTTTGAGACCAGCCTGACCAACATTGTGAAGCCCTGTCTCCACTAAAAATACAAAAATGAGCCGGGCGTAGTGGGGCACGCCTGTAGTCCCAGCTACTCGGGAAGCTGAGGCAGGAGAATCGCCTGAACCTGGAAGGTGGAGGTTGTAGTGAGCCGAGATCGAACCACTGCACTCCAGCCTAGACAACAGGGCAAGACTCAAAAAAAAAAAAAAAAAAGGCCGGGCACGGTGGCTCAAGCCTGTAATCCCAGCACTTTGGGAGGCCGAGACGGGCGGATCACGAGGTCAGGAGATCGAGACCATCCTGGCTAACACAATGAAACCCCGTCTCCACTAAAAATACAAAAAAATTAGCCGGGTGTGGTGGCGGCGCCTGTAGTCCCAGCTACTCGGGAGGCTGAGGCAGGAGAATGGCGGGAACCCGGGAGGCGGAGCTTGCAGTGAGCCGAGATCGCGCCACTGCACTCCAGCCTGGGCGACAGAGCGAGACTCCGCCTCAAAAAAAAAAAAAAAAAAGACCAGACCCCCCCGCCAAAAAAAATAGTTCAGATCACTAAGTTTATGCTGTATTTTTTACCACACACATACACACCCACACAGATGCCAGGCTGGGTGTGGTGGCTCACATCTGTAATCCCAGCACTCTAGGAAGTCAAGGTGAAAGGATGGCTTGAGCCCAGGAGTTTGAGAATAGCCTAGGCAACAACGTGAGACCTCATCTCTACAAAAAGAATACAAAAAATGGTTTGGCATCATGGTGTGCGCCTGTAGTCCCAGCTACTTAGTAAGAGGAAGCTGATGTGAGAGGACTTGCCCAAGCCCAGAGTTTGAGGCTGCACTGAGCCAAGTTCGCACCACTGCCCTCCAGCCTGGGTGACAGAGTGAGACCCTGTCTCTAGAAAAAAAACTGCCGAGGGCCTATGAAAGTCCTAATATGCCCCTAGGGTGGAGAGGAGACCGCGCAGAGATGGAGCCTGAGGGAGGTGGAGGCAGAGGGGCTATGCTGTGGGAAGAGCCTCAGCAGTGAGCGTCTCCCTCCATCCATGCTCCAGCCTTCTCTCTAGGAGCCAGGACACCTGGGTTTGACTCACGCTAGCCCTTGGGCTGTCCCAAAAGCAGAAGAGACAGTGTCTGCTCACCCAGCCCAGCCTGGCCCAGCCTGCACCCCAGGGACCAGAGCAGGCGTGGGAGGGTTCTCCATCAACCCAGGGAGAGGCCCAGCAACTAGGGAGGTGCCACTCTCCCTGGGGTCCACATGTCCCACCAAGCCTTCCTGGCTGAAGCTTAATGCCCATGGGTGCCGGTACCCCAGACCCTGACCACACAGATCTCTGCACAGGCCCTTGGTGCAATCACTGTGCTCCTGGAAAGCTGCCAATTGAATCCCATCTTCCCATTGGCTCACCTGGACATTGCAAAGCTGCTTTCCTGCTGAAGGGAGGAGCTCGCTGTGAGCATTTCCTAGGGTCTTTGCTTCCTGTTTGTCCTTAAGGAGACAACTATGCATAGAGAGGCCTCAGGATTTGGGCAGAGATGAGGTAGTGGGGAGGGTCTTTCAGGGAATGGCTGGCCTTGGCCCATGTGGAGGCAAGCAAGGAGGCTGTCCCATCAGGGAGTCCCCAGCGTGAGTGGGGAGACTGGGCAGTCACACTACACTGGGGCTGCCTCCTTTCTCTGGCTGAGCAGGAGAGTGGAGAGAGTGCAGCTTGCCTGGGGGAAACTGAGATGGGCTCCCTGCCCACCCTAATCCCCCTGTTCCGGACCCACAGCCACTGACCAGATCAGATAGGGCACATTCCTGCATCGAGCTGCCCACTTACTGGGACCGTGCTGACGCAGGCAAAGAAATATTAACCCGGCAGAATGGTTGCATGTTCACGTGTGCGTAACTCGGGGAGTGTGTGTGTGTGTGTGTGTCTCACTACAGAGAGGCTTCCGCGTGCAAGATCAGACACATATAAGCAGATGCATGTGTGCGCACATACACACACACCCACACACCTGTCCATCCACACAGGCACATGCTCACATATAGGTATATACAAAGACACAAATGCTTCTCACACATGCAAATTTCTTCAGTGTTGTCTCCCTGGCTGCTTCCGTTAATAAGACCCCTCTTCCTTCAGGAAGCCTTCCCTGATAGCTCCAGCTCATACTAGAAAGTGACAAGCCTGAGCTCAATCCCTGGTTTCAGGCAGCTGAATATAGGCTCTTTTAGGACGGAGTAGGCTGAGGGTGGAATTCTGGGTTCTCGACTTCAGGGGATCTTTGCCCTTGCACAAGCGGCTGTGCCTGATCCTGTCTGCCTTGGTCTCCATCTGCCCTGTCCTGAAAGCCCGTGGATGACTCTGAGAAGGATGAGAGCCTGGGCGGGGGGTGAGGGGGAGTTCTGGTAATTTGTGGGTGTGAGAGTTAAAGACCTTCCTGGGTCCTACCTGTGCCCTTGCCCCTCCCCGGCCTCGCCACCTAGTAGGGGAGCCCTGGTCTCCTTGGGGGAGCCAGAGCCCTGGTCTGGATGTTCTAGTTCTAGGTGATCTTGGGCAAGTTGTTACCTTGCTCTGAATCTATTTTCCTACCTGAAAAATGAGTTTGGAAGGAGACACTTACCTGGGTGGGGCTTAAGTGTCTTTTCTTTTTGGGACATTCTGAGAACGTTCATGGCTTCAGATGATTTGAGAGAGACCAGGGCTCCTTGAGGGACCTACCCTGCCCTCCTATCCCCACCCCTGCGCCTGGAGCCAGAGTAGCTCCTTCCTTACTTGTTTATACCATGGGCTCCTGAGTTATGCAAAGGATTCCGTGGCTCGAAAGAGTCAGAAAAAACACAAGTGTAAAACAATGTGATGAAAAGCAGGTTTTGTGGTAAGTTAATCCAATGGCATGTTGATTGAAACAAATAATTTAATCAAAATGTTTCTTTTGTGTGTGTATATCAACACTTTGGGGAACATTTGAGGGCAGTTTTTAGCATCTTTAGTCATTTTTGTTTCTTCATTCTGATATTTTAAAATTTCAATTTTCATTTTCATTCTTTATTGAGTTTCAGCCAATTGTGTTTATCCCATCCTGTTCATAAAAGAGAAGAGCTGGGTCCGTTTAAAATTGGAGACAATCTAAACACCCATCAATAGGAGGATTCTGCATGATATAATCTCCATCAGGTGGAATGCTGTACAACAGGCATGAGGTGGACATGGACCTACTGGCACAGAAAGATATTCTTGACCAACGTTTGAATGAAAAAAGTATTTTAGGCAGGGCGCAGTGGCTCATGCCTGTAATCCCAGCACTTTGGGAGGCCGAGGCGGGTGGATCACCTGAAGTCAGAAGTTTGAGACCAGCCTGGCCAACATGGTGAAACCCCATCTCTACTAAAAATATAAAAATTAGCTGGGCATAGTGGTGCATGCCTGTAATCCCAGCTACTCGGGAGGCTGAGGCAAGAGAATTACTTGAACCCCAGGAGGCGGAGGTTGCAGTGAGCTGAGATGGCGCCACCGCATTCCAGCACTCCAGTGACAACAGCGAAACTCCATCTCAAAAAAAAAAAAAAGAAAGAAAGAAAGAAAGAAAAAGCAAAAAGCAAAAAGCATTTTCTTTTATTTATTTTTTTTATTTTTATTATTTTTTTTTTGAGACGGAGTCTCGCTCTGTCGCCCAGGCTGGAGTGCAGTGGCCGAATCTCAGCTCACTGCAAGCTCCACCTCCTGGGTTCACGCCATTCTCCTGCCTCAGCCTCCCGTGTAGCTGGGACTACAGGCGCCCACCACCTCGCCCGGCTAGTTTTTTGTATTTTTTAGTAGAGACGGGGTTTCACCGTGTTAGCCAGGATGGTCTCTATCTCCTGACCTCGTGATCCGCCCGTCTCGGCCTCCCAAAGTGCTGGGATTACAGGCTTGAGCCACCGCGCCTGGCCTACATTTTCTTTTATTTTTATATGTATTTATTTATTGTGAGACAGAGTCTCACTCTGTCACCCAGGCTGGAATGCAGTGGCGCCATCTCAGCTCACTGCAACCTCCGCCTCCTGGGGTTCAAGTAATTCTCCTGTCTCAGCCTCCTGACGTAGCTGGGATTGCAGGTGCCTGCCACCATGCCCGGCTAATTTTTGTATTTTTAGTAGAGGTGGGGTTTCACCATGTTGGCCAGGCTGTTCTCAAACTCCTGACTTCGAGTGATCCACCAACCTCAGCCTCCCAAAGTGTTAGGATTACAAGAGTGAGCCAATGTGCCCGGCTATATTTTTATTTGCTAAAAATAAAACCGTGTGTGTGTGTGTGTGTGTGTGTGTGTTTGTGTGTGTGTGTCCTGGACAGTCACAGTTTAAGCATCAAGAGGGCCTGAGGTTAGACTAAAGGTATACCGGGTATAAGGTTGTGTCAAATATTGTTTCTTTGAAATTCAAATTTAACTGGGCATCTTATATTTTATCTGCTAACTCTACTGAAGCCCATCCTATGAAGAAAGGACCCCAGGTGTTCCCTCTCTGCCCCACCCCCATCTTCACTGGCTCAGAGACCCCCCGCAAGCTCTGTGCAGACTAACATGCTTCACAGCTCTGACCCAAACTCCCACCTTGGTGGCCCGTTTAGCTGCCACTCTTCTCTCTGCAGTTGAACTTTCTGCCTCCTCAGCCTCACCTTCTTCAGCGCTGTTGCCACCCTCTATCCCCACCAGCTCATCCAGGCAGCTGTATGCAAACACCTGCCTGGCCAGCCCCTCCCAGCACCCAACTCTGGGGCAACAGCCGCCTACTGGCTCCTGTCAGTCTCTGGGCAGCCCCGTGTCTGGGTTTTCAGCTCCTTCCCCACCCACTCGTTCATCATCCCTGTTCCCCAGAATCCTGACCCTGGCCCCTGCCTCACTCCCTGTGCTTCTTGGGCAGCCCCAGCGACTCTAGTGCTGAAGCCCAGGGGCTGATCTCCTCTTCTCTTTCTCCAGCTAGACCCCTCTCCCGAGCGCAGGCCCAACTGTGCCTCTGCCTGCTGGATGCCCTGGGACCTCGGGGACCTCAGGTTGACCCCATTGCTCTTCTCTTTATTAAGAACCCTTTGAAGGCTCCTCAGGCCCTTGGGTTAAAGTCTGAACTCCTGGGCCTGGCCGACAAAGCCCTTCATGGTCTATCCCTGCCCATTTCCACAGCCCTCTGCAAGTCACTCACAGCTCCCAGGTTTTCTCACAGTCCCATCAAGCTTCAAATGCCACGGTGTCCTTCCTCCCCCTGCTCGTTTTGGAAAACTCAGTTCCCATGTCACCTCTTCTGGAAGACCCTTGTCCCCCTCGAGCTTGGGCTAGCCCTGTCTGTATTCCTTCCAGCTTATCTGGTGTGTCCTAAGTCACCTGCTGCTTACCTGTCTCTGCCATGAGACAGATGGGACTGTGTCTTCTCCACCTCTCAGTCCCCAGGGTCAAGTCCTGTAAATGAGCTTAGGGTCTGATCTGCGACCCCAGCATGGATCCCAATTCCCTCCCTCACCAACCTGACACCAGTCCAGTTCAACTCTGCTCAAGTGCTGACCTCATCCAAGACCCCAGATCCACTTCTGACATGACCTCATCCCGGCCGTGGGAGCACACATGGGAAAGGAATAAAGGCAGGGCTCTCCCATTTCCAGGCGTGCACCCCTCCCTTCCTGAGGAAGAGAGACTGAGTCTCAAGCCCACGTACAATCTGCAGAGGGAGGCTGGGTGCAGTGGCTCACACCTATAATCCTAGCACTTTGGGAGGCCGAGACGGATGGATTCTCTGAGGTCAGGAGTTCGAGACCAGCCTGACCAACATGGTGACACCCCATCTTTACTAAAAACACAAAAAACATTAGCTAGGCTTGGTGGCGCACACCTGTAATCCCAACTACTTGGGAGGCTGAGGCAGGAGAATCACTTGAACCCACGAGGCAGAGATTGTGGTGAGACAAGATCGTGCCACTGCACTCCAGCCTGGGTGGAGCAGGACTCCATCTCAAAAAAAATAAAAATCTGCAGAGGGAAGTTAGTGCCTTACAGAGGGCTTCTGACTAGGAAGTCCCGGGACTGCGGCCGACCCCTTCCTCTCCCTGCCTCACCCCTGCAGAAGGACCTGCAGCAAAAGCTGGAAGGGGTGGGAGGGTGTGTGGGGGCTATGCAGGTTCCAGACCTGGTCTTTGGCACCCTCTACAGGACAGTTCCATTCCCACACCTGGGCTTTGGACAACTGAATCCTATGCCTTTTCCCACCCATGGAGCCTGGCCCCAGAAGTTCTCAGGACTTACCCACCATCCACCATGCCACACAGCAAGTGTCCTCAGAGTCTGCAGACCAGAAACACCTCCCTCGTGTCTCAGCACTGGGCCACCTGCTGAAACCCCGAACTGCCTGCCCCATTGTTTGAGACCTAGTCAGGCCCTAGCTCCAAAAGTCCTCTTGGACTGCCGCTGGTCCCCAGGGTCTCTCCTGACCGCACCTCAGTCCCGGAGCTCCCATGCTGCTGAGCCCCGAACCCCATGCCCCGATCCAGCTCTGGCTCCTTCACAGGGGCCCTGCTGACCTTTCCTAAGGGAGGTGTTTTCCTGAGGACAGAGTGTAGGTTTCCACCTGCTCCTCGGACTAGGGGCCCTCAGAGGGCCAGGCCTGGGCTTCTACCTCCTCCCTCAGGCTCGTGTTTCTCTGCAAATATGGCTTGTGTGTCCTCCTTCCTCTCAGACTGGGGGCCCTGAGGACTGGGCCTGAGTCTCCCTTTCCCCCTTCAGAATGGGGCTCCCTGAGGACTGATCCACGGCCTCCCCGCGTCCCCTCCACCCGGCTGTTGATCTCCAACACTTCCACTTCCAGTCCTATTCTGCACAGCTCTCCCCAACGCTGGGGGCTCAAAGGCCTCTGCAGCCTTCCCCAGGGCTGGGGGCTTGGGGAGGGCTTCCTCAGGCGCTGCCCCAGAGTCAGGCTGCACATTGGCTTGGAGGACAGGCCTTTCCTCTGGGACTGTGAGGCCCAGAGTGCCCACCCGGATCTGCACCTCTGACCTCACAAAGGGCTGCTTCAGAACTCGGTCTCCATGGCACCGCTGGCCAGACGAGGGATGTTATTTTGGGCAGTGCATCCGGACTTGGCTCAAGTGGCACCAGCCAAACCCCAGCCTTAATGACCTCTCCCCTAGAGGAGCAGGAGCAGTGCTTGAGGCCGCCCTGGGAGGGCTGAGAGGCAGGCTCTGGACTGGGGACACAGGGATAGCCGAGCCCCAGTTGGGAGTGGAAGCTGAGCCAGGGACTGTCTCGGAGGAACAAGATCAAGATGCACTTTAACTGAGAAGCCCCCAAGGCAGAGGCTGAGAATCAGAAGGCATTTCAGCAGAGTGAGTGGGGCTCCAGGCAGGGTGGATGGGGCGGCCTCCTCAGTGCCCAGATCCGGAAGGGCCATTCCCTTGGTACCACACAGGGAGGAGGTGACTGTGGGATTGTTTGGGGAAGGAGTGCCGGCTGGGAGTGGAAGGCCTGGCTTTCTGGCTCTGGTGCAGTCCTGTGTTGCTGTGTGACACAGACACACACACGCTCTCTCTGAGCCTCAGTTTCCTTACCTGTATATTGGTTGTTGGGAGGACCAGAGGTAGAGCAGAGATGGCAGGGATGTGCTGGGCTGGGCTGTCAGCAGACCATGGGAGTGGGACGAGGAGAGAGCTGAAGACCACGGGCCGTGGACCACAGGGGGAGGAGTGCAGGCCAGAGATGGGTCAGCTGCCGGCTTGCTGCAGTTGTTCCTCCCGCGGAGTCCCCTCCTGCGGGGCTAGAGCTGGGGCTGGAGGGTTTCTGCAGTCAGGGCTGGGGATAAGAGTCTGTGCTGCAGCTAGAGGGAACTGAGTTAGAGAATGAGGAGGACAGACAGGGTGAGGGGACTTGGGGCTACCTTCATGCTGTCAATTAGAGAGAAAGATAGGAGTACAAAGGGGAATTTTTAGGCAAGGTACAGGGTGAAATGAGTTTTCAGAGCCTCATCCTGTGTGTTCACCTTCTGTGTGTGTGTGTGTGTGTGTGCGTGTGTGTGCATGTGTGTGTGTGTGCAGGTCCTGGACAGTCACAGTTTAAGTTAGCAGCAACTGGGCTTGAGGTTAAATGTATAGCACGCAAATACGAGGCTGGAGCCACTGAGCAGAGGCTGAGGGCATCTCCACAGTCCAAAGCTGGGCTGCAGATAGGGAAGGTCTGGAGGAGCGCTGGAGGGTCTGGCCTGGGGTTGGGGTCCTGGGGCCAGCATGGGTGGGTGGGGCTCCAGGGCGTCGCCTCATTGGCTGAGCACTGCTCCTCCCTCCCTGTTGCTTGGCTGGGTTAAGGGAGTGGCACTAGTAGGAGCTGCCCCAGGGCTTCTCCCCTGGGGGCCAAGGTCTGATAGAAGTGTGGGGCCAAGTTCTGTGTGCTCCAGCCATGGTGACCTCTCTTTGGCTCCTCAGCATCTACAAATCTGAAAGACAAAACATGGTTCAAACATCCAGGCACAGGCGGTAAGTACCCAACCCCCTTCTCCCCCTCTAGCCCCCTGTCCTCCACCCAGCCCACTTCAGTGCCCTTCCTGCTCCACCCTCAGCCTCTTCCTTGGGGTAGCTGTCCCCCCTCTACCTCCTCCTCCCCACCCACTCACTCGCCTCTGAGGTCCCAGAAGAAGAGCATCTTACACCTGTTGCCTGGGCTGGGTCCTAGGGTGAGGGGAGGCTCAGAAAACCTTGGATGAGGGTCAAGGCATGCAGGTGGCCTTCAACTCAACCAAACTCAGCACCTCTCACCCTCTCAGGCTCCGTTGTCTTTGGGGTGAACAAGAACCAGTCCTTGCAATGGCCAAGGCCCTGCCTATGTAGTCCTTGTTAGCTTTCTGGCCTCCCCACTCCAGCCCCCTGCTTTCCCTCCTCCAGCCACACTGAGCCACACCGAGTTTCTTTTCTGTTTTTTTTTTTTTTTTTTTTTTTGAGACAGAATCCAACTCTGTCCCCCAGGCTGGAGTGCAATGGCGCGATCTTGGCTCACTGCAACCTCCGCGTCCCGGGTTCAAGCGATTCTCTTGCCTCAGCCTTCTGAGGAGCTGGGATTACAGGATTATAGACACATACTACCACGTCCAGCTAATTTTTTTTTTTTTTTTGTATTTTTAGTAGAAATGGGGTTTCGCCATGTTGGCCAGGCTGCTCTTGAACTCCTGACCTCAGGTGATCCACCTGCCTCGGTCTCCCAAAAGGTTGGAATTACAGGCGTGAGCCACTGCACCCGGCCTCACACTGACTTTCTTTGCTTTCTTCAAATATCCTGGGAGTCCTCTGATGACTGTTCCCTCCACCTGAGGGGCTTTCTGCAGTTAACATACAGCCCACTCTCATCTCCTTCATGGCTTTGCTCCAACGCCACCTTTTCAACAAGGATTACTCTGACTGCCCTATTTGAAATCACATCCCATCTCCAGCCCCTGCAATCCCAGTTCTCCTCTCCTTGCTCTGTTTTTTCCATACGAGCTGGTACCTTCTCTTATACAAATGTACTTGCTTATTACACTTCATTGCTGTCAGCTCCACATGAGCAGGGATATTGGCCTGTTGTACACTTGGAAGGAGAGAACGAATAATGCCCCTCTGTTGACATCACTGCCTCCAGCCTATGTCTCTCTCCAGGGCTTTAGATCCTGTTTCTAGAGACCCACTGGTGTCTCACAGGCAACTCAGCTCCTAGATGGAAACGGCCTCCTCCGCCCCCTGCAAGTTCACTCCTCCTGTGCTCTTGGCTCAGTCAGGGGCCCCCTTCTCCTCAGTTGCTCAAGCCAGAAGTCCAGGTCATATCCTTGATACTTCCCTCTCCCCTATGTCTCATATCCAGTCACCAATCTCCTAAAATATCTAGAATGTGCACAGCTTCCACCATTCTTTCTACCACCAGCCTACTCCCCCACGGCCATGTCAGGCCACCACCCGCCCATTCTTCAAAACCTCCTTCAGGCCCCACCTCCCACGCCTCCCCTGTGCTCCCCCAGTCCCAGGCTGCTTCTCTCTGCTGGTGTTGCCATTACCCATCTCTTCCATTAAACAGAGTGACCCAAGGGTGGAGAGTGGGTTTTAACTTTGTATTCCTGGTGCTTGACTCGTAAGTAGGTGCTCAACAAAAAAAAATTTTTTTTTCTTTTTTGAGACAGAGTCTTGCTCTGTTGCCCAGGCTGGAGTGCAGTGGTGCGATCTCGGCTCACTGCAACTTCTGCTTCTTGGGTTCAAGTGATTCTCACGTCTCAGCCACCCAGCTGGGATTACAGGTACCTGCCACCAAGCTCAGCTTTTTTTTTTTTTTTTTTTTTTTTTTTTTAGTGGAAATGGGGTTTTGCCATGTTGGCCAGGCTGGTCTTGAACTCCTGACCTCAAGTGATCCACCTGCCTCGGCCTCCCAAAGTGTTGGGATTACAGGCGTGAGCCACCATGCCTGGACAACAAATGTTTGTTGAATGAAGAAATGTTGGTTAGCAGGTTGAATTGTTGGCTTGTGGTTAGTTGGATAGTTTATGGTTGACCGGTTGATTCGATAATTAAATGAGTTAATAGCTGGTTAACAGGAGAATCAGTTAGTTGGTTTTTGATAGATTAGTCAAAGGGTTAGTAAGCCACCGGGCGTGGTGGCTCACACCTGAATTCCCAGCACCTTGGGAGGCTGAGGCGGGAGGATTGCTTGAGTCCAGGAGTTTGGGACCAGCTTGGGCAACATGGCAAAACCCCATCTCTACAAAAAATAGAAAAAAAATAGCCGGGCATGGTGGTGTGCTCCTGTAGTCCCCGCTACTTGGGAGGCTGAGGTGGCAGGATCGCTTGAACCCTGGGAAGTCTAGGCTGCAGTGAGCTGGGACTGTGCCACTGCACTCCAGCCTGGGCGACAGAGTGAGACCCTGTCTCAAAAAAGGAAAGAAAAAGAAAATAAACAAGCGTTAGTGAGTTGTTAGCTATTTAGTTCCTTGGTTAGCAGATTACTTAGGGGATCTGGTTGGCTGTCAGTTCCTTGCTTTGTAGGCTGGCTTTCTTGGGCCCGTCTTCTTAGTCTGTACCCTCTCCTTGAGCTCTGTCGTCTGTGTCCATGGCTCAGAGGACCATCTGTGATTTGCTGACCTCCACATGTGTCTGTAAGTGAGACCACATGACCAGCTGCCTCCTCACTGGCCATCCCACCCAGGTGTCCAGCGGGCTTCTCACACTCAGCATGTCCAGAAAGGGCCTCCTCATCCGTTCTCCCGCAGCTTCTCTGCTGCGCCCCACACTAGTCATTCCGCTGCCCTAGCCAGGACCTGAGGGCATCGCTGAGCTGCCCCGCTCCCTTCCCTCTCTAACTGAACACCAATCCTGTCAGCTTGACTGTGCTCTTGTGGCCGTTGGCACTGCCATCTCTGTGGCGCAGGCTGCCACCACTTCTCTACTCGTCTGTGGAGAAGCTGATGCTCACCCTGCCTTAACTCCACTTCCTCCATCCTGGCCTCCACAGGGGAGGCAGCTCTCTTGCTGAAATCCTCCAGTTGGCCCATGGCCCTCTGGTAGAGTTCAGACTCCCTAATGTGGGCCATGGGGCCTTCTGCCACCTGGCCCTGGCCCCTCTCTGCCCATCTCATGCCACCTCCACTCCTCTGTGGCCAGCCCATTTCTGCACATTGGATACTGCCTTAGCTGCAGGCCTTTGCACGTGGCAGTCCTATGCCCAGAATGATCCCTGCCTCCCTGGAGGCTCCTTTACCCGCCAGCCTTCTTTTCTTGACCTAGATTTCCCTTTCTCTGGGAGCCTCCTACCCCCTCCTCTAGGCCATTCACTTCCTGCACATGCCCCATGGTGCCCCTCTTCCAGCTGGGGCAGTGCTCATCACACTGCACAGTAATTGCTCAATCGATTGCTTTTCTTCCCACGGGCTGGGATCATACCAGTGTCCCTTACTGCAGCGCCTGAACATTCTACGCGTAGTAGATTCAAGAAATCTTGAGTTCATTGGCTGGTCGGTGGTTATCTGTTGCTTACTGTGTCTTGCCTGCTGTGTGGTGATGAGGAAGGAGCCAGGCTTCCAGGATCCTCTTGGTGTTCTTGGCTTTCTGCTCTGTCCACTTCTCTCCCCTCTTCTGTGGTTGCCTCCAACACTGGAGCTGGGGTTAGATGGGGGCCAGTGGAGGGTCACCTCACCCTGCTAGGGAGAGTAGCAGCATTCCTCGGGACTCCTAAATTCCCCTGGCCTCACAGCAGCAAAAAGTAAGCAGAGGGAATGAGAGATGTCCAGGCATGGAATAAAACATCTTCCACTTTTCAGCTGAGACCCTCTGTTCATAGCTCACCCATCCCAGTCCTTGCTCTATTCCTTGCCCCAGAAAAACAAAACCAGGGATGAATAGATGGAGGGGGATGCAGAGTTGCGTGGATAATCCACTGGTCCCCATCCAACTCCAGCTCCCATGCAGCATCGTATAGGGGTCTCATTATCCCATGGCCAGCCTCCTCAGCCCTGAAGAAGAGACCCTGCCAAGGCAAGCAACAGCCCAAAGACAGTCCTGGGAAGGTACCATAGAAGCAGGGGAAAGGTGGACAGAGCAGGAAACCCAGAACACCAAGGGAATCCTGGAAGCCTGGCTCCTTTCTCATCAGCACACAGCAGGCAACGCCCAGCCAATGAACCAAAGATTTATTGAATCTACTATGCCTACTGTGTTCAGGCACTGCAGTGAAGGAAACTGGTATGATCCCAGCCCTTAGGAAGAAAAACAGTTAATTAATTAAGCTTTTTTTTTTTTTTTTTTTTTTTGGAGACAGGGTCTCACTCTGTCACCCATGCTGGAGTGCAGTGGTGTGATCTCAGCTCACTGCAACCTCTGCCTTCCAGGCTCAAGCAGTCTTCTCACCTCAGCCTCCCCAGTAGCTGGGACCACAGGCATGCACCACCACACCTGACTAATTTTTTTTCTTTTAATAGAGATAAGGTTTTGTCGTGCTGCCCAGGCTGGTCTTGAACTCCTGGGCTCAAGTGATCAGCTTGCCTCAGCTAGTCCTGGGATTACAGGCGTGAGCCACTGTGCCTGGCCTAATTGAGCAATTACATTGCAGTGTGATGAGCATTGCCCCAGCTGAAAGAGTGGGCACCATGGGGCATGTGGAGGAAGTGAATGGCCTAGAGGAGGGGGTAGGCCGCTCTCCCAGAGAAAGGGAAATTTAGGTCAAGGAAAGAAGGCTGGCAGGTAAAGGAGCCTCTGGGGACGCAGGGGACCATTTTGGGCGTAGGACTGGCATGTGCAAAGGCCTGCAGCTAAGGCAGTACGTGATGTGCAAGGATGGGCTGGCCAGAGGAGTTGAGGGGCTGGTGTCAGCTTCTGGGCATGCAGACAGTGAGAGAGCAGAGTGACTAGTCTAAACAAGCACTAAGGCCACACTTAGAGGTATCTGTATCCCTCTTCTTCCCCCCCACTTTTTTTCTTTTTTTGAGACGGAGTCTCCCTCTTGTTGCCCAGGCTGGAATGCAGTGGTGAGATCTTGGCTCACCGAAATCTCCGCCTCCCGTGTTCAAGCGATTCTCCTGCCTCAGCCTCTGAAGTAGCTGGGATTACAGGCATGTGCCACCATGCCTGGCTTATTTTGTATTTTTTAGTAGAGATGGGGTTTCTCCATGTTGGTCAGGCTGGTCTCGAACTCCCCACCTCAGGTGATCTGCCCACCGTGGCATCCCAAAGTGCTGGGATTATAGGCATGAGCCACTGGGACCGGCCCCTCTTCTTCCTCTTTATCCTCCATCCCCACCCCACCACCTTCCCCAAACTCCAGTCCTATACCTCTCCCTATACGCAGATTTGGGACCTGTTACTCACTGTTTCATCTACCTGTCCATCTAATTGTGCACTTCACTAAATATATATTAAGTGCCAGGCACTTTGGGAAGCTTTGAGGATCTAGTTGAGAGTAAGACAGATTCCCCAGTTTTCACTCATTCAACAAATATTTATTGTACATCTACTACGGCCTGGCATTGTGCTAGGCACTGAAGATACACCAGGAAGTAAGATCCAGTCCTTCCTTTTCTCCCTCCTTCTCTCTTGATCATTCATTCATTCACTCACTCTCTCACAAACCTCTGTTTGCACTGACCTGGTTGCAGAGCCTGGTGCATTTTGCTGACCCCTTCATCTTTGACAGAACCTGGTACATGTTTCAGTGCTCAGTGCTGTTTATAGAGCTCGGCAGCAGACTTTGTCACACCTCATGCTGTTTGTAGAGTGCCTCACTGTTAACAGGTCCTGGCCTGTGACCCCAAAGTTCTGGCTCTAGCAGATAGGCAGACAGACAGATGGATAGACATAGACAACTGAGCTCCACTTTCCAGTCTGCTCTCTCCTACCCTGCTTTTTTCCCAGAGACTTGTTGGCATCATGGATTGCACTTTCAGCTCCCCACCTGCCCCTCTGCAAAGTGGTTTCATTAGTGTGTCATTTTTACTGGTCCAGTCCCAACTAGAAGGAGCATGGCCCGGCTGTCTACCCCGTTCCTCTCCATGTCCCCATGGCTCTCAAGTGTCTCCAATTCCAGCTGTCCCAGCTGCCCTGGGCAAGAGGAGGTGTGTGTGGTGAGGCTGCTGGGTTACCCATTAACTCAGTTGTGAGTTGAAGAGCCGATGGGCAGCAGGCAGACTTGAGTCTCCTTTCTGTCCATGGGCTCGGGTCACTGTCTCAGGTCCACCCGTGGCTCCAAAATGGTCTCCTGGTCCGTGATGGCAAAGATCCAGGAAATACTGCAGAAGAAGATGGTGCGAGAGTTCCTGGCCGAGTTCATGAGCACGTATGTCATGATGGTGAGTGGGTGGGCAGCACGAAGTGGGTGGGGCTCCACCAGGGCCATCCATGACCCCCTCCCCATGCTGACCCTGTAAGTCACATTGTCCATTCCTTGCCTCTGAGCTGGTAGCCAGGGGAAGCAGCAGAGGAAAGTAAAGAGGTGGGGGGCCTTTCTCATCAAGTCTATTTGGACAGAAAGGCTCATAATATGTGGGGGTCGAATGAAACCATGCACTGGGGTATCAGGGGCATGGCTGGAAATGGGGAGAAGGGAAACCCAGGGTGAAGAGATTGAAGAGGCCCAGGTGCAGTGGCTCATGCCTGTAATCCCAGCACTTTGGGAGGCTGAGGCAGGTGGATCACCTGAGGTCAGGAGTTTGAAACCTGCCTGGCCAACATGGTGAAACCCCGTCTCTACTAAAAAATACAAAAAACTAGCTGGGTGAGGTGGCGGACGCCTGTAGTCCCAGCTACTTGGGAGGCTGAGGCAGGAGAATGGCGTAAACCCGGGAGGCGGAGCTTGCAGTGAGCTGAGATCCAGCCACTGCACTCCAGCCTGGGCGACAGAGTGAGACTCTGTCTCAAAAAAAAGAAAAAAAAGAAAGAGAGATATTGAAGAGAAACTTGATGATCAGGCTCTGAGAATGAATCCAGAGGGCACTGGGCGATGTTGAAGGCTGGCAAGCAGGGGAGTGACATGATCAGATTTGGATTTTAAAGGTAATTTCGGGTGCAGTGTGGAGCAAAAGCAGGACAGGCACGGCTGGCAAGAGGGAACCACTTAAGAGGCTGTTTCTGATCTGGGACAGAGAGAGGGTGATGACTGGTTTGGGGTTGGAGAAGAAAGCACGTGTTTGAGAGGGCTGTGGAAGATGGAACTGGGGAGACTCTGCCAGCAGAAGATGTGGGCAAAGCGCTGATGAGCTGTTCTGGAGCACGGGGCCCAGCACAGGGTGAGAGGCGAGATGCCCATGGGGAAATCCAGGAGATAGTTAAACACAGGCAAGGGGCTGGAGCTCAGGAGAGGCTTGGTCTGGAAGGAAAAAGTTGAAGTTCATCATAACACAGGTGGTGATTGTCGACATTGTCCAGAGAGAGTGTACAGAAAAAGAAAAGGATGGTTTGAGGACAGAGCCCTGAGGAATGAAGAGGTGCACGCAAAGGAGCCTGAGAAGGAATGGTCAGAGAGGTGGGAGGAGACCCAGAGCAGACTGCATGACAGAGGGGGGCAGTGGTTCCACCAGGAAGAAGCTGTCAGCAGATGGGCCACGCAAGGTGAGCACTGGCAAGAGGCCTTAGGGTTTGGCAACGTGGAGGCTGCTGGTAACCTTGACAAGGGCTCTTCTTTAGTGTGTGACTGGGACAGAATCCAGACTGCAGGCGGGATGTGAGGTTGCTCCCTCTCCACCTGCTTCAGCCCTGCCACTTACCACAGCGAGCCTCTGCCCTTAACACGACTGTAGCCATGTTTACTGCATCTTATGCAGGGTCCAGGTCTAGAAAAAGAAGGGGCAGCCTCTGGGAAGGGAAGCCAAGGCAGCCAGGTGCATGCTAGAGGAAGGTGGGGTGAGAGAATGTTTGTGTGTGTGGTAGCGCCCATGGATCTCAAGGGAGAGAGGAAATCAGAACACCAGGGTTCTTAGCCTGACCCTGCCCGTGAGTCACCGGTTGGCCTTGGGCAGGTCTCTCCCTGGCTTAAAGCCTGACTTCTCACTTATATTGTGTAGAATTAGGACTTCACGGGCTTTGGAGCTGTGTTTGAATCCTAGCTCTGTTATCTTCTAGCTGTGTGACCATCCACAAGTATCTTAACTGTTCACAAATTTACCTTTCTTGTTTTTGAGACAGGGTCTCACTCTGTCTCCTAGGATGGAGTGCAGTGGCACAATCTCGGCTCACTGCAGCCTCCACCTCCCATACTCACGTGACTCTCTTGCCTCAGCCTCCTGAGTAGCTGGGACTACAGGCTCGTACCACTGTGCTCAGCTAATTTTTCTATTTTTAGTAGAGATGGGGTTTCAGCCTGGGTTGGCCAGGCTGGTCTCGAACTCCTAAATTCAGGTGACCTGCCTGCCTCGGCCTCCCAAAGTGCTAGCATTGCTGGCGTGAGTCACCTCACCTGGCCCACAGCTTTAGCTTCCTTATTGGTTAACAGGAACACTAACACCAAGCTGGAGGACTTGTGTGAAGAATGCCAAGTCTCAGCACCCAGTACACATGTGGTACCCATGTATTGGTTTCTTGTTATTAGGACAGGTGCTCTCAGCTGCTCTCTCCTCTCTGCCTCTGGCCCTCCCCTGCTCCTCTCTTACCTCCCCACCTGCTTTGGCTCCTGAGCTGTGAGGACAGCAGCTAGATCCTGTCCCTCCTTAATCCAGGGCAAAGTAATTCACTTATCACAAGACATTCCAGTCCCATGAGGGCTGTTAACCCTTGGAACCTCGGAGGCAGGAGGGTGTGTCCTCTGAAATCTGTTAGGGAAATAGGCACTGCCCACATGCTTGATACCTGCCCACATCTCTGTTTCTCTTCCTTTTATTGAGATTTTCATTGAGCACCTAATGCATCCCGGGCTCTGTGATGGGAAGCACCTTACGTGAAGCATCTTCCCAAATCCTTGCAATAGCCCTGTGAAGTAGGTACTATTATTATCCCAGTTTCACAGATGGGAAACCTGAGTCTCCTTGAGACTAAGCCTCTTGCCCAAGGTCACACTTTAAGTCAAGATTAAATCCAGTGCAGTCTAATATCACAGTCTTTTTTTTTTTTTTTTTTTTGAGATACAGTCTTGCTGTGTCATAGTGGTGCGATCTCGGCTCACTGCAACCTCCACCTCCCAGGTTCAAGCGATTCTTGTGCCTCAGCCTCCGGAGTAGCTGGAATTACAGGTGCACGCCACCATGCCCAGCCGATTTTTGTATTTTTAGGAGGGAGGAGGTTTCACCATGTTGTCAAGGCTGGTCTTGAACTCCTGACCTCAAGTGATCCTCCCGCCTCGGCCACCCAAAGTGCTGAGATTACAGGCATGAGTCACCGTGCCTGGCCTAATATCACAGTCTTGACCCTTAACCTCTATGCTCTGTCCCTTAGCTTAAATATGGCCAGCTTTTAAAGACTCTGGCTTGTCGATGCTCCCCCAGCCAGGGTAAGGTCCTCATTTTCAGGTAGTTCAAGACGCCTCTCTCGGCCTCAGTTTCCCCATCTATAGAGTGGGAGAAAAATTCTTGCTGTGCAGATTTGCTGTGAGAATTGAAGACAGTAGCGCTTTAAAAGAACTTTGTGAGGTGTAAGCCTATGTCGGACATTGTGTTGTTGTTATTTTTAGTTGCCAGGCTGTGCCAAGAAGTGAGGGCTTTTTTTTTTTTTTTTAAATATATATATAGGAATTTCAGTGAGTCACCAGGGTGAAGGTTTTGCCAAAAGCTAGTGTGACCTTGGCCCCATTTACTGCAGCTGGGACAAGGGAAGCGGACTGATCCATGTTGCAGCTTCCAGGGGTGTTGCCCTTGGAGCTGGCCTCCTGGCTGTCAGGGAGACTTGAATGGGCTGGGCCACATTCACTGATCAGGGAGAGGAGGGGCTGGAGCCATCCGGGCCGTACACGTGAGCCATGGGGCAAGGGTTGTAGATCACATGCTACAGGGGCCAAGAGAGCGGCAACTCAGGGCGGTGGGGACTTTGGCTGGCTGCTGAGTGCCAATCTGTGCGAGGCTGTAGCTGCTGCCACTCCAGCTGACTGTTGCCATGGAGGGTGGAATGCAGGCCAGTGTTGCCTGAGCTGCTCATTTTTCAAGAGAGACGGAAACTTCTGTTCTTCAAAACCAAGTTATCTAAACAAAACCTGTGTGCTGGATGAATTAGGGCATGACTTGCCAGTTGGCAACCCTGACACAAGGAACCATGTAGGGTTCATTCGCTCACCCATTTTTTTTTTTTTTTTGAGACCGAGTCTCACCCTGTTGCCCAGGCTGGAGTGTAGTGGTGCCATCTCGGCTCACTGCTCTGCCTCTTGGGTTCAAGCGATTCTCCTGCCTCAGCCTCCCGAGTAGCTGGGATTACAGGTGTGTGCCACCACGCCTGGCTAATTTTTTGTATCTTTAGTAGAGATGGGGTTTCACCATGTTGGCCAGGCAGGTCTTGAACTCCTGACCTGATGATCTGCCCGCCTCGGCCTCCCAAAGTGCTGGGATTACACCACACCCGGCCTATGCTCATTCAGTATTTTTAGCACATGGTATTGGAGTGGGGGAAAGGCCATGGGGGCCCCTGTTTTCAGACCCTCCATGCCTGCTCCAGTCCCTCTACCTCCTTATCCTGCCAGCCTGTCAACCTGTCCTGGCCTCACTCCCCACTGCACCCACATCTGTTTCTGCCCTCCCCTGCTATACGTTATCTTGGATCTGAAGGCAGCCCAGCTCTGGGTTCCCCCTTTCTGTCCTGGGGCTTCTGAGGGACCCAGTGGGGCCTGCTCAACTGCCTCTCCCCCACCATATCTGGGCTATTTCACATGTTCTCAGACTTCCCCAAATCTGCTCTGTACTCTGACTTTATTTATTTATTTATTTATTTTATTTTATTTTTTAAAATAAGCAAATGGCTTGACAGGTAAAATAATCAACACTTCCTGTGGTGTTCACCTCACCCTCTTGTCCCTCTCACCACCAGACCCATTAACCACATATGTATCCACATATCACCCCTTGGCTGGGGTGGGGTCCTCTCCTTCCTGGAGGACCCCTCCACTTCTGCACCAATCCAGCTGTCCAGCCTACTCAGGTACTTCACACTGTCACTTTATTCTCTCCTTTATCTTCAGCCTGTCCCTCTCTCAGCCTATAAACATACCGAAGTTTCTCCACTGAAAACAACACAAAACGAAACCTCCCTCCCCTCACCCTGTCAGCCCCTTCGCGGATCCTGTTCTCTCTCCCCTGCTCCTCAGGCGACTTCTCAAAGAGGAGTCTACGCTGGTGCCTTTCAACTCTTTGCTGCCACCTCCTCACCTCTCCAGCTCTGGAACCGGGCTTCTGCCTCCACAGCTGGATGACGCAGTGCTCACCATGTTCCTAACGACTGCTGGATTGTCACATTCAAAAAAAAGCATGCTTTCTAGGCCTGTACGCACTTGACCTAGAAGCTCCATGCGACAGTGTGGACCGCACCTTCCTTGGGAAACTCTGTTTCTCCTCGGCATCCATGGCACATTCTCTCTCTGTTCCTCTCCCATTTCAACACCTGCTTCACAGTTGAGGCTTCCAGCGTCCACCCATGAGTGTGATGTGTGGCTCTACGGGCAGCCCCAGCTACCTTTTGGTTTTGTTTTTGTTTTTGATAAGGAGTCTTGCTCTGTCATCCAGGCTGGAGTGCAGTGGCTCGATCTTGGCTGACTGCAACCTCCGCCTCCCGGGTTCAAGCAATTCTCCTGTCTCAGCCTTCTGAGTAGCTGGGATTACAGGCGAGTGCCACCACGCCTGGCTAATTTGTGTATTATTAGTAGAGACGGGGTTTTGTCATGCTGGTCTTGAACTCCTAACCCAAAGTGATCTGTCCACCTCGGCCTCCCAAAGTGCTGGGATTGCAGGCGTGAGCCACTGCGCCTGGCCTGGTCTGCCTTCTTACCCTGTACCCCCTCCTGGGGCCTTCTCCACTGACGGCTTTGACTTCGGCCCTCATGTCCACAATTCTCCAGGTTTTCTCTTTCATCAACGCTAGAACAAAGCTCTCCAGGGGAAATACAATACAAGCCATCTATATAATTTAAATTTTTCTAGTATCCACATTGAAAAGGTAAAAAGCAACAGGTGAAATTAATTTTAATAATTAACCCATATATCCAAAATCCTATTTCAAGATGTAGTCAGTGTAAAATTATTAGGATATTCTGGCCAGGCATGGTGGCTCAAACCTGTAATCCCAGCACTCTGGGAGGCTGAGGTGAGAGGATTACTTGAGGCCAGGAGCTCGAGACCAGCCTGGGCAACATAGTGAAACCTCATCTCTACACAAAATAAATTGAAAGGCCGGGCGCGGTGACTCACGCCTGTAATCCCAGCACTTTGGGAGGCTGAGGTGGGTGGATCACGAGGTCAGGATATCGAGACCATCCTGGCTAACACGGTGAAACCCCATCTCTACTAAACCTATAAAAAATTAGCCGGGCGTAGTGGCAGGTGCCTATAGTCCCAGCTGCTCAGGAGGCTGAGGCAGGAGAATGGCGTGAACCCGGGAAGCAGAGCTTGCAGTGAGTGGGAGATCGCGCCACTGCACTCTAGAGACTTTGTCTCAAAAAATAAATAAATAGGCCGGGCGCGGTGGCTCAAGCCTGTAATCCCAGCACTTTGGGAGGCCGAGACGGGCGGATCACGAGGTCAGGAGATCGAGACCATCCTGGCTAACACGGTGAAACCCCGTCTCTACTAAAAAATACAAAAAACTAGCCGGGCGAGGTGGCGGGCGCCTGTAGTCCCAGCTACTTGGGAGGCTGAGGCAGGAGAATGGTGGGAACCCGGGAGGCGGAGCTTGCAGTGAGCTGAGATCCGGCCACAGCACTCCAGCCTGGGCAACAGAGCGAGACTCCGTCTCAAAAAAAAAAAAAATAAAAAAAAAAAAAATAAATAAATAGAAAAAATTAGCTGGGGCCCGGCACAGTGGCTCATGCCTGTAATCCCAGCACTTTGGGACGCTGACGCAGGCGATCATCTGAGGTCAGGTGTTTGAGACGAGACTAGCCTGGCCAACATGGTGAAACCCTGTCTCTACTAAAAATACAACAAAACAGCTGGGCATGGTGGCGTGCACCTATAACCTCAACTACTTGGGAGGCTGAGGCAGGGGAATCACTTGAACCAGGGAGTTGGAGGTTGCAGTGAGCCGAGATC